TTTTTGATGTGTCAGTTTGGCTAGTCTGAACTACAGCCTTGGAATTCCATTTTTGCTCTCCTAGTTAGAATGGACTACAAGACATTTTCTTGTGAGCATTGGAGGACAGAGAGAAGCAGTGGCCATTTTGTTGCATATACACACCTTCTAGTTATTCGAACACTAACCTAAGGGCTGTTGTAAAGGAATTTTGCAGATGTGATTAAAGTCCCTAATCAGTTGATTTAAAGTTAATTAAAAGAGAGCTTATTCTAGGTGAGCCTGATCTTAGGACTTCTGTGAGGTAAGAAACTCTACAGAGCAGCTAGACCTGCAAGTGGACTGTTTTTCTCTGTCTCTCCCTTCCTGACTGCCACCTGTGATTGAGCTGCAGCTCATGCCTATGGGGTCCAGCCTGCTTGTGATCTTCTCTTCCTGACCGCCTGTCCTATGGATTTCGGACTTCCTTAGCTAGCCTCCATAAATGCATCAGCCAATTTCTTCTAATAAATCTGTTAATGTTATACATATTTCCTACAGCTTCTGCTGCTTCTCAGTTGAACCCTGACTGGTAGACCATTGGATTTTAATAAATTAACAGAGTAGGAAAATGTAATTCATAGGATTTCAGATTCCACATTGTAACTAATCTTTAAGGAACTACCGCTTGTCAAATTTTGGAGTAGTATCAAAGAAGAATATCCACAATTATCTGAAAAGGCTATCAAAAATACTTCTTCCTTTCTCACCTGCATATCTGTGTGTGAGACTGGGTTTTCTTGTGTACATCAACCAAAACAACATAATGCAAGAGAATGAATGCAGAAACAGATATGACAATCCAGTTGTCTTCCATTAAGCCAAACATTAAAGATTTCCAATAATTTAAAACAATGCCACACTTAACACTAATTCTTTCGGAAAATATAGATATTTTTCATGAAAATATTTTAACATGTCAGAGTTTACTATTGTTACCAAATAAATAAATAAAATTAGGGGCCGGCCCTGTGGCTTAGCGATTAAGTGCGCGCGCTCCGCTGCTGGCGGCCGGGTTCGGATCCCGGGCGCGCACCGATGCACCGCTTCTCCGGCCATGCTGAGGCCACATCCCACATACAGCAACTAGAAGGATGTGCAGCTGTGACATACAACTATCTGCTGGGGCTTTGGGGGAAAAAAATAAATAAATGAAATTATTGAGAAAAAAAAAAAAGGGCTGGCCCCGTGGCCTAGCGGTTGAGTGCCCGTGCTCCGCTGCTGGCGGCCCGGGTTCGGATCCCGGGCGCGCACCGACACACTGCTTCTCCGGCCATGCTGAGGCCGCATCCCACATACAGCAGCTAGAAGGATGTGCAACTATGACGTACAACTATCTACTGGGGCTTTGGGGGAAAAAATAAATAAATAAAATTATAAAAATAAATAAAATTAAAATTTCTAATTTCTGATACCATAAATATTGATAGAATTACCTCATAACTAAAAGCTCTTTGGGGCATTCATAATTTTTAAAAGTGTAAAGACATCCTGACACCAAAAAATTTGAGAAATGCTGTTTAAGGATGTATCTAGGAATGTGCTGCTGGTATTGCATATATCTTCAATTTTACACGAAAAGGGAAACTATTTTCCCTAGTGGTTTTATGAATTTTTATACCCACCAGCTATGAATTAGCAACCACATTCAACCATGACTCATCAACCTGGCCAACTCTTAGTATCGCTAGGTTTAAAAATTTTAGCCCATTTAATGTAATGATCTGTTATTGTGATATTAATTTCTACTTCTCTGGAGAGGTTGAACACCTTTTCAGATGTTTATTGATTAATTGGATATCCTCTTATTTCAAGTGCCTGCTTGTTCCAGTCTTTTACTCACTTTTCTATAGTGTTGTTTTCTTTTTGATTTGTAGAAGTACTTTATATATTTTGGATATGGGTCCTTTGTCAGTTATATGTGTTTTAGGTATCTTCCACACTCTGTCTTTTTACTCTATAATTTTTTCGTGACAAGAAATTTAAATTTTAAAAAGTTGTATTTATCAATCTTTCCTTTGTGTTTGGTACTTTTGTGTTTTGTTTGAAGACTTTTCCTACCCCTAGATTATGAAGACGTCTTCCTATATTATTGATTTTGTCTTTCACGGTTAGGTCTTTAATCCTAGAAGTTGATTTTTGTGTGAAGTAGGGATCCAATTTGGTTTTTTCCCCCTACGGATACCTAATTGTCCCAGCACCATTAAAAAGACTGTTATTTTCCTTCCAATATGTCATGCCACCCCTATCATATATGCATGAGTCTGCTTGTAGATCTCCATTTACGTTTCATTGTCTTGTCTATCTGGATCTCTGTTCTGTTTCATTGTTCTGCTTATTTATCTGCACAAATGCCACAGTCTTAATCTCCAAATTGTTATAATGAGTCTTGATGTCTGCCAGGACAAGTCCTTCTATTTTGCTCTTCAAGAATGCCTTGGATATTTCTTGGCATATAACTTTTAGGTTCAGTTTATCAAGTCAATCAACCTGTGTAATTCAGTTTGTTATAAGAAAATAAAATGCCCTGACATGATTTTCGTTTGTATTGCATTTAATATATAAGTCAATTTGGGGAGAACTGGCATCTTGATAATAATTGAGTCTTTCAATCCATGAGCGTGGGATTGCTTTCCACATTTAGTTAGATCTTTAATGACTTGGTAAAGTTTTATATTTTTCTTGTGGGTCTTTCACTTCTCTTGCTACATTTTCCCCCACCTAAGTATTCCTTTTGATTCTGTCGTAAATAGTGTTTTTATTTTCTAACTGCTGTTGTTACATAGAAATATCATTTTGCATCTGGCTACCTTGCCTAAACAAGTAATTTCAAAAGATTTTATCAGTTTTTCTTGATTTTCTACATGTTTTATCTATGTTTCATGATCTATGACAGTTTTATTTTTTCTTCGCCAAATTTTATGTTTATTTCATTATTCTTACGCTATTAAAATTGGTAGTACAGTATTGAATTAAAGTAGTCACAGCAGGCAATGTGTGAGACTCTCGATCTGGAAAGGAAAGCTTTAAATTTTACCATTAAGTATAATGTTTGCTGCAAGTTTACTGTAGATATCTTTTGTCACTTAAGGAAGTTCCCTTTTTTATGTAGTTATGTAGGAATCTTTATTTTAAAAATCATAAATGAATGTTCAATTTTATCAGATGCATTTACTACATCTAATGAGATGATCTTATAGTCTTTTTTCACATAAGCTGTTAATATAATAAATCTCATTAATTGATTTTATAATGTTAAACCATCCTCTATTCCTGGGATAAATGCAACTTAGTCATGCTGGTTTATCCTTGTGTATATTTTGCATCCATATTACTCAATGAGAGTATCATATAATCTTTATATGTATATATATTTGAACCTATATCAAATACATATAATTTAAAAACTGTGAAGTAAATCAAACGCTCTGAAGTTACCTTCTTTCTCTCCAGTAATGCTTCTTGCCTTAAAGTCTATTTTGTCTTATATTTAGTAATATGACCGCACCAGCTTTATTTTAAAAAGTATTTGTATGATATATTGCTTTTTATTTCAGATGTGTTTCAGATGTTATCAGTGGAGTGCAATCTGGCAACCATATCTTTTAATTGAAGCTTTACTCCTATTACATTTAATAAGTTACTCATATATTTGCACTTAAATAAAACATCTAATTTTGTGCTTTTTCATTGTGCTACAAGATTTATATTTCTTTTTTCTCATGTAACCTTAAGGTTATACACTTCGAAAGGCCCTACTTTTCATTATCATTCTGTTCAACCTATTTTCTAATTTCATTATTTTTCTTCTTTGACTCATACTTTATTTAGTAATGGGTTTCTTCTTTTCCAAAATATAGCTATTTTGTAGTTACATTTTTGGTATTGATTTTTGGCTTATTTTATGGTTGGGAAACATGTGAAAAGAACATGCATTCTGCAGGTGGTATGTGCAGGGTTCTGTATGTCCAGTAGGTTACTTTGTTTTTTATGTTGTTCAGATCTTCCATACCTTTACTGAGTTTTAGCCTGTTTGTTCCATCAATTACGTAGAGAACCTGTGTTAAAATTTCCCACTAAAATTATTGATTTTTCTCTTTTCTCTATATTTATCAGTATGTTCCTACTTCAAAGTCTTTTCGGGGCCGACCAGGTGGCACAAGTGGTTAAGTACGCGTGTTCCGCTGCGGCAGCCCGGGGTTCGCTGGTTCGGATCCCGGGCGTGCACCAATGCACCACTTGGCAGCCATGCTGTGGCAGCGTCCCATATAAAGTAGAGGAAGATGGGCACGGATGTTAGCCCAGGGCCAGTCTTCCTCAGCAAAAAAAAAAAAAAAAAAAAAGGAGGAGGATTGGCAGATGTTAGCACAGGGCTGATCTTCCTCACAAAAAATAAAAATAAAATAAATTAAAAAAAAAAATCTTTTCACATTTCTGCCCAGTGTTTTGTCTGTGATGGCACTTTTGAAAAAGGTGGCATGGCCTTAATATAGTATAGTCTCGTGCTGCTTAGTTTCTATGATTTGGGGAACTGAACTAGCTCTGGTCACATCTAGATTATTTACTACTGAGAGTTTAAATGAACCAGATTAGATGAAAAGATACATGAGTATTTTGGGGGACAGGGTGCTGTGGGGCCTTTGGTTTCCATCTCCGTTGTCTAGGCAGTTAGCCCTTGTTGTGTGGAGATGTTTTCTTCCCACCTTCATTGATGTGTTATTTAGTAGTGTAGCTCCTGTTAAGCAAAGGATAACTCTGAATTCCCAGCAGATTTTGGTAATAAAAGGACTTCTTTTTATCCCAGTTACTCTAACCAGTCTGTCGACTGTTGGCTTTGCTAGATTTAGGATCTCTGGTTGCGGTCTGTGTTAATAGCTTTACATGATGAAAGAGATGAGTGCCCATAGAAGAGTCAGTCTTTTGAACGCAGGGATTGTTTTCATTTAGTTACCCCTTAACATTTATTTCTCTTTTATCTTCAGTTATTTGAAGGATTGAAGGCGTTTCGAGGAGTTGATAATAAAATTCGACTATTTCGACCAAATCTCAACATGGATAGAATGTACCGATCTGCTGTGAGGGCAACTTTGCCGGTATGTAAATTTAGGAGTTTCTTTTGTGTTTCTCTTAATATAATGGATCACTGTGAATTTACCACCAAACAAATCATTTCTGAATACTTAGATCAATATTCAGTACAAACCATATGAACACTAAAGTTACTTTTGATATACTTTGTCATTAGTGAAGTGAAAATACAAGGAAATAACCAATACCATTTGACAGTTCCACAGTCTATTTCTCTATGAGTGTCTCTGGGGGATTAACGTGTATGTGAGAGATAAAAGGATTAGGAAGAAAAATATGCCTTAAACTAAAATAAATAAAATTTAAAGACTGTATGAAATTATAATATTGAAAATGGAAAACATGGTGTGCCTCACAGGTATTTTGGGGCTATTTTGCCTAATTGCTCTAGACACTAACAAGTATATGTGATTTAATTAATTATTTTGATATTTTACTCCAAGTTTTATTTAAAAAAAAAAAGAAAAGGATATCAAAAAGGTTTCTCATGGCCATCAAATCCTGACTATAACCTTGTTATGCAGCAGAATTCATTATAAGGTGGGTTGGATTAAACACCAAGATTCACATCTAGGTGGAGGTGACTACGATTCTTCCCATTCCCTGAGACATGACCAGGCTGCCTTTCTGAACTAAAAGACGTCTTTTCCTTCTTTTGCACGTTCTGTGTAGCTAACTTTTAGGAACTATCCCACCTGTGCATTGAAGAAGCCCGGAAACAGCTAAATCCAAGTAATTACTCCTTTTTAGCCAGGCTCTTCCTTCTCCTTGCTATTTTTGTAACCCATACTTCACCTACCTCCTTCAGGGGCCATAATATGGTAGCAGGAGGGAAATTAAGGTAAGTTCTTTGGACTAGGTTCTAATTTCTAGTTTTCCTTCTACCATTGCAGACAGATCACTGGGAAAAACTTTAAAATGGGGACAGAAGGAAAGGAAAGTAACATTTATTGGACACTGGCACTGCTACAAACTGTCTTATGTGGTTTTCTTTATGTGGTTTATTCCTTGTCTGTTTAAGCATAACAGTAAGCCATTGTCAAGAAGGTATATATTGTAAATTTTAGTAGTGCTTTTGTATAGAGAAGAAAACTCGAGCCCAGAGGGGTTAAATGACTTGCCTAAAGTCCCACAGAATAAAGGGACAGGACAAAAAATTGGATTCAAGTTTTTTGATTCTTAGTCAAGTTCTCTTTCCATCAGCTCTTATCTCTAGACAGCAGTACCAGAGACAAGCAGGTGACACAGGGTGATGATATGTCCTATGTGATTGGCAATCCTGATTTCCATAACATTACTACACTGTGATTGCTGTTATAGGTTAGCATTTAAATAGCCAAATCCTGATGTCATGAGCTCTATTCAGATGCTTGTTTCTCACTCATTTCGACCTTGGATAGCCCATCATATCTCTGAAAGTATGTTTCTCTCCCCTGCCAAGTTAGTAGAAACTACTTATTTTACGAAGTCACCCATCTAGTATATGAAAACTTTTTTTCTCCTTAAAAATAAACTGTTTTTTACTTTTGCCTATTTTCCTATTGGGTTATCTGTCCCTTTCTTACTGATTTTGAGGATATCTTAGCATACTCCATTTACCATCCTCTGTTGGTTATATGTTACAAATAACATCCCCCAGTTTGTTGCTTTTTACTTCTTTTAAAGAACAGAAGTCCTTAAGTTTTAAATAGTCAAATTGTATACATATTTTTCCTTTATGGTTTGTGCTTTATGGCTCTTATTTAAGCATCCTTTCCTATCTTAAGGTGATAGTGATATTTTGTATTTTTTTAAATAAAGGTTTTAATGTTTTGTCACATTAGGTATATAATCCAACTATAATTGATATTTGGATATGGTAAGACGTAGGGATTCAATTTCTTATCTTTCCCATATGGATAATCTATCATCCCACACAATTTTGGGGGGAAAAAATCCCAGAAAAGAATTCTTATTTGGTTTTATTATTTTTACTTTTTTACCAGCCTAAAGCTTCCACGAGGATCATTTCTTATCGCTACAATGGAAGAGAATAGTAGAAAAACTCCAGTATTCATTATATTTTTCATTGTTTCAGGTATTTGGCAGGGAAGAACTTTTAGAGTGTATTCAACAGCTTGTGAAATTGGATCAAGAATGGGTCCCATATTCAACATCTGCTAGTCTGTATATTCGTCCTACGTTCATCGGAACTGAGGTGCAAACTGACTCCCTATTTTGGGGTACTTCGGTGGGCAAGTTATCTTTGTTTATTCTTGTGTGAAACTTCTTTTTTTTTGTTGTTTTTATAATTTTATTTATTTATTTATTTTTTCCCCAAAGCCCCAGTAGATAGTTGTATGTCATAGATGCACATCCTTCTAGTTGCTGTATGTGGGACGCGGCCTCAGCATGGCCGGAGAAGCGGTGCGTCAGTGCGCGCCCGGGATCCGAGCCCGGGCCTCCAGCAGCGGAGCGTGCGCACTTAACCCCTAAGCCACGGGGCCGGCCCCTCTTGTGTGAAACTTCTAATATGTAATTTGAAATAGCCTCTAATAGCATTATTAATGACTTCTTTCGCCTGATTATCAAGACCAGGGGTCAACAAACATTTTCTGTAAAGGGCTAGATAGTAAATATTTTTAGGCTTTGTGAGCCATATGGTTTCTGTCATTACTCAATTCTGCCACTGTAGTACAAAAGCAGCCACAGATATGAACATGAATGAGCAATGAATGAGGCTGTTTGCCCTCCCCTAAACAAGACTAACCGTTATTTCCTCAGTTTACCAGTATAATGCCTCCTGTCTCGGCAGCACTTCTCCAAGATAGAAGTGGTAATGGTTTTGAAATTTGGAGGAGGGAGAGGTGCTACTTTTTATTTTCATTTTATGTAAATGACTTTTGTCCTACAGATCTCATTGTGTTTCTTAACTTTTTCCTTTAGCACTGTATTTTTCATTTCTATCCAGTTACTGTGTGTATGTCCACTCCATCACTTCTAACTACTGCATAGTCTCCACACTGGACGTCTACCACACTTTGTTCCAGTTCCCTTACTGGAGTTCCATTTTGCTGTTACCTTATGTAAAGTAGCAGTGAGGAGTTGGAAAATTTACAACCTAGGGAATGACTGAAAGACTTGTTGTTTTCCAGCAAGATGCCCTAGGCCCATCTTATTTTCCATCCTCAGAAAGTCCACTGCTTTTCAGGGAAGTCCTGGTTCTCTTTGATGGAAAACAGTCATTCAGTCTATCATCATCACCATCACCTGGCATTATGAAGCTTTTCTAAGTGTCGTTGCACTCAGTGTTTCCTGTGTGCTGACAACAACCGTGTGAGTAGGTGCTACTGGTATCATTTTAGAGGTAAGGAAACTGAGGCTCAAAGAGATGAAATAAAACCCCTGCAATGTTAACCTCTGTGCTGCAGCATCTCTTATGTGTTAGCCACTGTGCTAGGTCTAGAGTTCCAGTGCTGAGCAAAAACCACTGCCCCTGCTCTCAGGAAGCTCAGTGTCTAGTGTAGGAGTCACACTTTCATAATAGAAACCCATGAAATGAATGTGTATTGATGGATGGAGAGCAGTGCTGTGAAGAAATGGGGCATGGTTCAATAAGAGTAGTTACCATGGAAATGTAACTTAGATGGGGTCTAATTTCTTTCCCATCTTGTTCTAATATAAGTCTACGTTCGTATCTATTTCCTTTCCTTTCTGTGAGCTACCAGCTTTCCTGCTCTCCATTAATATTTGACATAATCACTCCAGATTTTATATATTGTATTATGTGTTTTATAGTGTTATATAGTATGTATTATATAACACATACACAGTCACACTAAGTTTCAAGTTGAATTACAATGCTTCCAAGTTTAGGAATATCAATTCACATGCAAACTTGCCAGTATATTTCTGAGATTTTATTTTTATTTTTAAATTTTTTCTTAACTGAGGTGCAATTGACATATAACATTATATTAGTTTCAGGTGTATAACATAATGATTTGATATTTGTATATACTGGGAAATGATCACCACAGTGTCTAGTTAACATCTGTCACCATACATAGTTATAAAAAATTGTTTTTTCTCGTGATAAGAACTTTTAAGATTCACTCTTGTAGCAACTTTCAAATATGCAATACAGTATTATTAACTATAGTCACCATGCTGTACATTACATTCCCATGACATTTATTTTATAACTGGAAATCTGTACCTTTTGACCCCTTTCACCCATTTCTCCCATCCCCCACCCCCAGCCTCTGGCAACCACCAACCTGTTCTCTGTATCTATGACCTTGTTGTTTTTGTTTTTGTTTTTAGATTCCACAGATACGTGAGATCAAATTTTTGTCTTTCTCTGACTTATTTCACTTAGCATAATGCCCTCAAGATCCATTCACGTTGTCACAAATGGCAAGATTTCATTCTTTATTTTTATCACTGAATAATATTCCATTGTATATATACACCACATTTTCTTTATTCATTCATCCATCAATGGACACAGGTTGTTTCCATATCTTGGCTATTGTAAATAATGCTGCAATGAACATGGGGGTGCATATATCTTTTTGAGTTAGTGTTTTTGTTTTCTTTGGATAAATACTCAGTAGGATTGCTGGATCATATGGTAGTTCTATTTTTAATTTTTTGCAGAACCTCCATACTGTTTTCCATAGTGGCTGCACCAATTTACATTTCTGCCAACAGTGCACAGGGGTATTTCTGGGATCTTAGGGATTTTGGGGAGGGAAAAATATCTGGTAACAAATTCAAATAGTACCAAAAGTATACAATGGAAAGGAAATTTCCTTCCTACATTCTGATCCATAGTTCCACAGTTCGCCTCCTTCCAAGCAATTCCTGTTGCCAATTTTTCCTGTCGCCTTCTAGAGGTGCATATTGATAAATACAGAAACACTATTAGACCTGCTTACATGTGTTTGTAGGTTAAACATTATCCTTCTTTTTGTAAAAATGGCAAGTTTTTGCCCATATTCAAAGATTTCTAAAACTATACACACAGTTTAAAGAAAAGAATTGAAATGAAAGTCTGTGGATACAATACCCAGTTAAGATTACAACATGACTAGTACAGTTGAAACCTCTTGTGTACCCTTCCCTGTTAGCTCCCCTTACCTCCCCAGTGGAGTTAACCACGTTGTTGTGTGTGTAGTTCATTCTTGACCCCCTGCCCCTCACCCATGGCATTCTGCTTTACTACAGATGGACATTTGGGTCATTTCCAGCTTTTGGCTATTATAAATCAAGCTGCTGTGCACATCCCTGTACACGTCTTATGGTGGACACATGTGCTTGCTTCTCTTTGGTATTTACCCAGGAGTTGAATGGGTGGGTCAGAGAGTATTTGTATGTTTTGCTTACTGGATACTGCCAGTTTTCCAAAATACTCTTACCAGCAATGTTTGGAAGTTTCATTTGCTTCATATCCTTGCTGATACTGGTATTGTCTTATTCTTTTTACCCGTTCTGACATATGCAGCCTTATCTCCTTGTGGTTTTAATTTTCATTTCCCTGATGACAAATTATGTTGAATGCTTTTATATGCTTACTGGCTTTTGGAAATCCTTTTGTGAAGTGCGTTTGCAAGTCTTTTGCCATTAAAAAAATTGGTTTGTGCTTTTAATTTTTTTAGAGTCTTTATATATTCTGGATATAAATCCTTTGTCAGATAAATGTATTGCAAATAGTTGCCCGCTCTGTGGCTTGCATTTGCGTCTGTGTCTTGCCTTTTCACTCTCTTACCAGGATCTTTTGATGAATAGAAGTACTTAATTTTAATGTAATTAAATCTATTTTTTTTTATGTTTTGTGAGTTTTAAAGAAACTCTTCCTTATTCCGAAGTCATGCTTTTCTTCTGTTTTAAATTTTGCTTTTTCCACTTAAGTGAAATCCATTAGAAAGTGAACTTTCTGTGAAGTTAAGGATTTTCTCCATTTGGATACCAAGTTGTTCCACCACGATTTATGGAGTAGTCCATCCTTTCTTCCTTGGTTTACAATGCCAGCTGTTGATATGTTCAGGTTCCATAGATGAAGGCTTTTTCTGGCTTTCTATCTATATCTTCTCTTGCTTTTTTTTTTTTTTTCTTTTACACATAAATGGTAGGAATACCGAGAACAATTTGTATGTATTGTTTTTGCACCTACAATTTGTCTTGGAGATCCTTCCATATCAGTACCTATGGATCTACCTCTATTTTTTTCCATTTTCCTAGCTGTAAGGTATTCCATCGTACGTATATACTATACTTAATTAAATACAGGATGTCATATATTATAAGATGCACCATTATTTTATGCTCTAAAATGGAAAAACATTGCCAATTAAACTATGGTACAGTACTTTCTCGATAATCCTGAGTGATTCATGAATTAGTCGTACCAGCCCCTTATTTTTTCGAAATGTATGTTTTCAGAGGAAATCTGCAGTTTCTCCTACCATCAGATGCACTGCTTGGCTTGTGATAGGCATTTTTATTTTTCATATATCTTAATAACAAAAACTAACACAGCTTTATCTTCTTATGGAATTCTTCCTACCATAAGTTCCATTGGAAGACTTGGTTGTTGCTTTGCAAGAAAATATTAAATTGCATTTGTTTTACATTATTACAAATGTTTGTTTCACTAATGTCAATACACGTCCTGCTCCTGTTTTTATGCTTTTCTGTGCAGTAACTTTTCTTTTCAGTACCAATAACTTTTTGAAGACCTTTTAAATGCCAGACTCATCATGTATAACATCACCAATGCCCATAAGCCATTGAAAGTACCATCAGTATGAAAAGCTAATTCTGAGTCTGGCAGTGCCGTCTTTGCCATGACTGCTTCCTGGCCAATAGCAATTGTAAAATGCTGAGTCCTGATTTCAGATATGTTAAATGTGGAAAAAAATGGACATCTCAGAATCTGTGAAATATGATTGCGTAATTTATATAACCAGTGTCCTGTTGATCAACCATTATGTTGATATAACAAACATAACAACTGTTATTAGTAAGTTGAATAAAGCAGGAAGATTAAATTTAGGACTCTTAAAAATGCAGGGCTTCTTCAAGAAATTTATGCTATAGACATATCCCCCCTAGTGCACATAAAGACAAATACTCAAGGATATTTATTGCAGCTCACACAATTTGCTGGTAGATTGGATGTGCGTGTGAGAGGAGAGATGTTACGTTTTCCTT